AAGGTTGACAAAATAGAAAAATTGAGCAGAAAACTTGAACTTGAAAAGTTTGGAGTTTGTAAATTCATGTATGATGATAAAAATTGATTGAACATTTTACAGTATTCCGTCATTTCAAACATTGGCACTGATTAGCTGTAACTTTTTCATTTGTTGAATATCTTCCCAGGTTTTGTGATGTACCTTGCCCATACAGCACAACATTGACAGACATGAATGTAAATGAAATTGTTTCATGCTTTTGTGTTGTGTAAATGATGGATGAAAAAAGAGACAGCTGTAATACATACACATAGATGAATAATAGAAAGGTCTTTCATAATGGCATAGTTGTAGATGTAACTCATTTGCTGCTGTTTAATTAATAATTGATGAAAAATAATTTATTTCATCCTGTTTGAAAAGATTTAGTTGGGAATCAGAAAAAAAAATCATTCATAGGTAAGAGATTATGAGAATGTGTAAGGGGAGAAAACTATGATAAATTATGAATTGATCCAGCTGTAATTGTTGTCATTCATGTCAGACTAATCTAAAAAGATATTTCTATCAACATAAATACTGCACTTAATATATTTTTAATTTGCATCCTCTGAAAATTTTATTGTGTTACAGTCGGAAGCTATTGTGAATGTGTCTATTGTTATTGGACTTTTAAGACACCATTTCAGAATAGATTTTTATTAACTGCACTCCATGTGTTCGTTATTTATTTAGGTTACTAATTGTTTGCTGTAGTGTGAATCCTGTTATGTTAATCTGATATGTTCTCCTGAAAAAGGTCTTCAGTTACAGTGGTACAGAATAAATACACCAGATCTACAATAAATCAATTTTGTGGTATAGTAACACAGTATTAAAAATGTTCCAAATATTCCCCTTGCAGGTACCATAAGTCCATTTAGGTAAAATAATTATTCACCACCAAATCAGTCAAGAAAGAACTTGAAAAAAATTATCCAGTTTTGTCTTGCACTTTGTGTCGCACTCATGTTGATTGAAATAAATAGTTTCTACATGATGATGTGGCGATTCGTTGTTCCTCTGCGATTGTAACATGTAGTTATGCGCACATCGCCATCACCAGTAGGTACAACTGAAAATATGTGCGTGAATAAATACCCAAAATCTATAAACAGAGTCGATAGGACAAAACATTTTAAACAGAAAAAATACCAAACAAATAATTTCATCACATGAATAATACAATTGTGTTTGGTCCAGATCCACTCGAGGAGAGCTATCTACATATTACTTATAATCTTGATTATCCAGCTCAAGAATTAACAACACTACTCCCATGTGGAAGTGGATGATTTGAATCCAGGTCAGGAAATACGTTGAGTCCTTTGCTTTGTTCATATGTTGATAAAGTAAACGTAATTGACTTCCCTTGGTAATATTTCCACTATTGTGACTTTAGAGTAGCTTCCCTTCATAAATGCTGCGCAACATGGTAAACGTTAACCTAGATATCTAGGTCATATGACTTATCGTGATGTGTCGTGAAGACGAAGTACAGTAATTATTCACCCTTCAATCCGTGGATATTCTACAGAAACATTTTTGTAGCCCTTTCCCATTTCTCTGCGATTTCCCTGAACTACTGGACACTTTCGTATTGTACCGTTCAAGGGAAACTTGAAACCAGGAAGTATACATTGAGATTTGTCGCCATTATGCGATTGTGTCCTTGCCCAATTTAGCCTCGTTTTGGTACAGATATGAATATTCATGAGGCCTCATTAAGAATGGTCTATACATGTACCAAGTATCACTGAAAGAGGAAGTCTCGTGTAGTGGAGCACTGTAATCTAAGATGTCGGAATTGGCTCAGCAGTGTTATGTGCCTGGGTTCAATCCCACCCTTCCAAGATGATTCTGGGTTTGTCCAGAGCTCCAGATAAGATTTAGCTCATGTGGGTATTGTACCCACTCTATTTTGTTAGAGTGGGTATTATGAATGTTGAGTGGGTATTTCATTTTCTGTTACCCACTGCTTTCAAATATTACTCACCTATGTTGAGTAAGTTTACTAAGCAGGTATGTTCTGCCTTATGTCATACCTACCGTATATTACCGTCTATAAGCCGAATTTTGAGGACCAAAAAAAGCAGTCTGCAGAAGGGGGTCGTCTTATCCATGGGTTACGCTTTCGTCAAACTTTTTTTCCAGGGGTAAGAAAACAACATTGTATCACTTCGCGTGAACAAACAACAGAAGACGACTTTGTCAGTAGAGACGTCAAATTTGCAATTAAACATCACCAGACAAGATTATTTACCTTTTAAGTTCTAAGTTGTTTTTGCTGGGAATTATATTATTTGCAGGCATTAAGATTACCGTGTGTATCTGAGCCAGAAATAGCAATCAGCTGTGCACATGCTTCCCGGTGATCAAATTTCAAATATGCACAATAATATAACGGAACGAATTCTGACGCAGTCATCAGTAAAATATAATACAGAATACTATTATTTAACCCAAAGAAATATATCCTAGCATTGTGTAATTTTAATTTTTTTTATATGTAAAATATATATAACCAACACTAAGGTTATACGGACCCTCATGAATGTGGTAAGCAGAAGTTGTACGCACATGGAATGGGGTAAAATACGGAAGCCATTTAAATTCACACATTTTGACTGATGTTACTGTAAACTAGCAGTCAATGGAAAACGAGGCGGTAATCAAAACCAACTTAAATATAATGGAAATGATTTCATAAAAAATCACTCATCCTATACTAACAGTACAACTTGATAGCAATCAATGTCTTTTTCATTACGCAAGCGATTTTGATAAATATATTCCGTACGCATTTGTTTTAAACTTTCTGAGTATCTAACATTTTAAATGCGTAATTGGTACGCAACAATTATTTTGCAATGCGTAATTCTATGCGTATTTTACCCGGATACGCAGCTTATCTGGGCCTCTGGTTTGTCAGCACTATACCCATGCTGCTGGGGTTCAATCGGTGCTCAACATCCGAGACCTGCTCCCTTCAGGCTCGAATCACACCCTAAGCTTGAATCCCGGGATAAGATGACAACAAAACTTTACACAGCAGTGCTAACCAAATGCCCTCACTCACTCATGCTGTTGTTTTCTTTAAGTTTCTTAGAGTAGCCAAGGCTAAATGTTGGATGCATGGCTTGGAGAACGTAAAAAGCCAAATAAACAAACAAATAGTCGAATGTCAACACAAAGCTTACGTTTCTGTCATACTTTCATGTGAAACCAGGGTTAGCCTGAGAAATGGGAGGCATCGCATGGACTGACTGACTGAGTTTAGTTTTACCGCTTTTAGCAATATTCCAGCAATATCACGGCAGGGGACACCAGAAATGGCATCGCATGGATATGTAAATTGTAACTGAACACCTAACCCATTGCTCACACAACATACACAATCGAAAAAGTAAGAATGATCTACAGGTTGCATATTCTGCATTTGTTTTACTCCAAGTGAGGAAAATAACTCGGTTATTCCTACCACTAGATAAACAGAGAACCTTTGTAATAATGTTTAACATGTCTAAAAAGCGTATTCTACCATGTCATCCTTTACTCAAATCTTTCCATGGTTAGATCGTATTTTGCTGAGTGAAGATGGAAGAACACTTAGCCATGATCTTGTCAAGTAATGAGAATGGTTTATGTATATCAGATCTCAATGTATTCCACATAGTAACAATATTTAGCATAACGGATTCCTGCAGCAGCACCATCGACATGTTCATTGATACAGAATATGACTTCAGTTAAACAAATTTCAGGGCCATCATAAAACCTGGTAATAGAGGAAAAGGTTTAAATCAGGTAAATATCTGAAAGTTAGTGACAGAAAAATTATTGAACACTATCACCATATAATGTGAATCTAATCTGGTTCTTCGGCATGACAAGCAAATAGTGTAACTTCCATGTTCAGAGTCACATAACCTTTTAAGCACACTATGAAATGGAAAATGGACTCTTCCTTGTCTACCCATCTGTCTAGTGATTTTGGCTAGAGTGCATTTCTGTATACAGAAGTATTATATGCATAGAGAAACAAAGGAACACAGGAAAATTCAATCCTTCCTTTATTATTTTCAATTTTTCATCACCAAAGCGCTATTCAAACCTGGTGATGAAAACTAGAAAATATTTAAGGAACGCTTGAATTTTCCTGTGTTCCTTTATTTGTTTCTCTACGTGTATATCTATCTATCTATCTATCTGTATTACCATGAGTACCATTTCCAACAACCCTTCGGACACACTTTCTGTACAAATGACATTATGTCCACACAACAACAACCATGCACATAGCTGGAAGCAGGATTGCAGAGCGAAAGAAAGCATGAAATCGTGTGCATTTGTGTATGTTGTCAATTGCAAAATAGAATTCACTAACTTCACTTTTGATTGTTGTCTCCAAAGGCTGTTCATGTGAATTAAACCCCATTTGTAGTTGAATTATACATAGATTTAAGATTCAATTATAGATCTACATTTTCACTTAGCATAGTTAGTGACCACTGGGAACATATATTTGTATACATACAACGCAAAACTGCCCTTTTACATATGCAATAATCCTATATTTAACGATTGACGCGGAACGAGAATTGTTGTGGGGGAGTTTCTCCGAAGCCCTGAACAAACGCAAGAACTACTCGAGAAAAGGTCCATTTCATGAAGAGAAAGAGCTGGGATGGATACACATCAAAGATACAAAGGAAAGTTTGTTCAAATAGAGTGGTGGAGAAAGTTGTTTACTCCTGAACGATATCCGTAAATCAGAAATGTCTTGTAATCACTGATGCCGCTAGGTTTCAACTTGAAACTGTCCAAGACAAGGTCTTTTTGAATAGGCACGTGGTTTATGAATGCTCCTTTTACTACCGATTGAGCCATAATTTGTTAATCTAAACAAGACAATAATGTTTGGTATTGATATCAAGCAAGAAAAGTTAGTTTCTCCAATGATTACCCTGAAGTATTACCTTAGCCTTGTTGTCGTCCGCCATCTTGATCGATGATGAAGAAACTTCTAGCAAACCACGCTTTCAGATACATGTAGGAAATTAGAGTTACCTCCCTTCCTGTGCGATAGCTCGAAGCGTCTGGTCCTTTCTAGAATGTTCGTCAACAAACACATGTAATGGAACAGCTCAATGGAATACACAAAATGTGTTTGTATTCAATGTATCCATATGGTACCCCATTAAATAATCACTAGAATGGACTATCAACAACCAGCATTATTTTTCAAATTGGTTTGGCTGCACTTCTTGTAACCACATCCAGGAGGCGATTGCCAGGCAGGAACATAAACACATCGGGACATATTTCATTTAGATTTAAGTTGTACAGTTATTTTTCCTCGGATGAGTTAATACAGCAAACCAAATCCTGAATATGACACTTTCGAATTTTCTGAATATGACTTGGTGGTAGAGCGAACTGTATTTCTTTTCTAAGATGCCAAATGTAATACTTTCTAAGGATAACCAGGGAGACTATATAAGGTTGTAGAGTATCCCTGGGATAACTACGATTAATCTGATGCAGAAAACAAACGGCGGTGTCGGTGACCTAAATTAAGAATCCTCTAACAGGGCTAACTGGCACGCTGTTCTATTGACGTGTCTGCCCAACCCCCATAAGTGAAAACTTATCAAAAGTGACCCCGGATATTTTACTAGTTTTAATTTTTTTTGGACTGAAAGAGACTCGAACCAGCACTGAGAAGAAAAAGTGAGTATACTCTGAATAAAAGTGGTATAAAACAACATCATAACAGATTGGGAAACGTTAATAGATCGCAGTTTGCGCATTGGATGGAGGCATTAAGACGAGCCTTACCAGCAAAACACATGATAAACAGTTTCATGACGGTTTACGCTCGGGTTAAATATCTTCTATAAATTACTTTAATTACATCTGTGATTTACGTAAACCATATGGGGCAATATGAACGTCGTATTTCTACTACCAACGTAAGTTTAGATCAGTACATCCAGATGAAGCTGAGTGGTCAAGCAACGTTCCGAGATTGCATTGTGGGACTGTAAACAATGCGAACGTTACCGTGTCGCTGTAAAATTGTGATTCGAACTGAGACATTTTATCCGTCAGAAAACATAAACGTAATGTTTCCGCCAGTGATGTTAGCCGCCGAGTGAAGCAACTGCAAACCAAGAAACGGCATGCAACAGTGTATTTTGCTGTAGGAGGCTGCACGGGGCGACGACAACTGACATGCATCGTGACGTCGCTTACATTGTGACGTAATGCAAAAGTGTTCGATTACGAGGGGGCAGACTAGAATGGCGCAGTGACGCCAATACATTGTGACGTAATGCAAAAGGTGCACATTATCGTCTGAAAAAGTACTGTCGGCGCCTTTGATCTTTCAGCGTAGCATCTTAGAGAGCAAACAAATCCTGAATATGACACTTTCCAATGGCCATTGTGAAGAAATCCTCAATACAAACAATCGAAAGACAATGCCAGCATAGGTGCTGCGTATAAATAGATGGCTTGGACTTCGTGTAAGCGCCCGGCTCTAACATGATAACAGACCTGCCAGGAATGGCATGTTTGCAAGTGTTTTCTTTGTGGCATATGTGTGCCTAGTCTGTCTCACAGTCCCTGAACCACATTAATTTCCCTACTGCTAAGCCCTCTCTGCAGTACTAAAGCCCTAAATAAAGCAAGTCTAGATTTCCTCAGGCTCTGAATCTCTGGTCTCCCTAGGGCTCCTTTTCAATATAAATGGGCTTGTTTGTTACTATCAAAATTATATATATTCAGAGACTAAGCCTTAGTCTAATGTGTGGCATGCATATTAGGCTTTCGTTAAGAAAGAAACTATCTTATGCAGTTTCTAGGGAGAATGCGAGCTATAACGAATTTTTATTTAAAATCTGCTGAAGGTCGACCGTTTGTACAATTTTTTGCCTGAATCTGCTGAAAACTATAACAACACATAGTAGATTTGTATACAAAATCAAATTTGTTACTGTATCTAGACAAGAAATACAATACAGTTTCACCAGAAATTATTGAGAAAATCTTTGTTTCTTAATACTGATAATAGAATTGTAAAATAGGTGTTACATTATGTAGTAAGATACTCAACATGGGAGGCAACTCTTGTAGGCTTAAGAATGAACCTTATCTCCCTTGGTGTAGCAGACGGCTTCTTTGTTGCCGTGCCAGATTTCTCAGCAAAAGAGAAAAGAGCTGATTCTAGATGAGTTTGATAGGGGTGTGACTAATGCAAAAGAGTTAGCTGGTAGACATGACATTCCTCTGTCTACAGTTTACAGAACCTTGAAGAATATTCAGTCAGGAGTTGAGACTGAACACAAGATAGGGGCAGGGAGGCCAAGGAAGTTCATTACTACGGATCGACGGCGACTTGGTCAGATTGTGTGTAGGAGAAAGTTGAAAAGCGTTGAGAATATCAAAAAAGAAATGATTAATAGAGGAAGTCCTCAGGTATGTAATGAAACCCTTAGATAAGGATTACAAAGACTTAACTGGGTGAAAAAGCGCGGAATTCCCTCACCTTTGATGAAAGATGCACAAATAGAAAGAAACTGGTGTAGGGCTGAAGAAAATCAAGATTGGGATAATGTTTTTTTATTTTTCTGATGAAAGTTCTGTCTGACTTTTTCCGAACTGTGTGAAAATTTGGACAAAAGATATTGTGAAACCTATCTAAGAACGCCCAAACCATAGCCTGGAAATTTGACGAATATGTTGACATCTTACATGGTCACCTCCTTCTAACTGCCCGAACACTGTATGAAGATAATTGGATTTTCAAGCATCATAACGATGCTGCGGGCTACACAAAACAGTGGTTGTCGGACGAAAATGACTGGCCCAGCTACAGCCCAGATCTTAATCCTATTGAGATGGTGGGGACCAAATGATGGACAGAATAAACCAAAAAGGACCTAGAAATATTGAGGATATGAAGAAAGAAGTGGTCGAATATTGGGATAAGCTGTCAACTTTGATCGGTAGTTTACCTACAGGGCAAGGTCTCACAAAGTACTGAAAAGACACTTAGCCTGTATGAGAATCATATCTCAACATATTCATTTAAGTAAAACTTCTATAGTTTAGATACATGTATCGGACATTTGCCGAAACAACTGTCTCAATAATTTCTGGGAATACTATACTTTTAATAAGAGATCACAAATCGATTCGTGGCCAAGTTGATTGTGAGTCATCATAGTCCGATGAGGTGGTCAGCTCTGTGGTCTGGTTGACTGTGGGTCATCGTATTCTGATGACATGGGAAGGTAATCATTTCATCAAACACTGGTCAGTTTTCCCAAGACACGATTATTTGGAGCCACACTATAGATGGAATATTGCTGACTGCGGAACTAAACAACTAGTAAACAAAGAACAGTGAAATGAAGCGAAATGATGCACGAATTGTTTCCGATCTAGGATGAACACAAACAACTGGAATAAAGCAACTATTTGATGTTATGCCAGTTTTTATGCAAAAAGATAATAACATGATTTGTGGTGTTTTCCTTAATCACTGTTTTACTGTTGACAGGATACTATCGAAATCTATATGATTTGAGACTAGGCATCGTGACACGCCCTTGTGTCGTGTCAAAAGTCAGTTCACAAATTTAGTATCGCGTGTGTCCACCATTGGCGTTGATGCAGGCTTGACAACTACGACGCATAACGACACTTAGCTATTGAAGAATACTTGGGGAATATCGTTCCATGTCTGAACCAACGCATGTCCCAATTCAGCTAACGTCAATGGCTGATTCTGGGCTTGACGTAAACGTCTTTTCATTTGACCCTAAGCGTGCTCGATAGGGGACAGGTCCGGAGAAATGTAGCTGGCAATGGGAGTACCGGAATGTTCTGCTGTCTCGGGAAATCTGTCACAACACGAGCGACATGTGGCCGGGCATTGTCTTGGTGAAGCGTGAACTTACGACCCAGTGATCTCATCCCAGTATCGTTGCCCTGCCATCTGAGCTGTTCAGATGAAATCCTGACTCGTCAGTGAACAAAACACCATCCCAATCTTGTCTGCCGTACCGTACCGTACATGCTGTCTGTGCCTGTCAGTGACGCTGGAACAAAATTGGACGTATTGCAGGCCGTCTAGACTAAGGCTTAGTCTCTGAATATATATAATTTTGATAGTAACAAACAAGCCCATTTATATTGAAAAGGAGCCCTAGGGAGAACCTGAGGAAATCTAGACTTGCTTTATTTAGGGCTTTAGCACTGCAGAGAGGGCTTGGCAGTAGGGAAATTAATGTGGTTCAGGGACTGTGAGACAGACTACAGGCCGTCGTGTGTTATTGTTACTAGCCATATTTCAGCCCTAGTTGCTACCACCGGAACAGTGGACAGAATTCTTGCAGAGGGGCTAGTCAGTAATTATGTTGAATAAGTCAAATTCTTTCAAGATTCGGAATCACATTTATCAGATATAAATCCGTCAGTGTAATATGGAGCATGTTCGAGGAATATTGAACCCTGATTCAGACGTGTGTTACTTTATCTTTACCTCGAAATTCGACAAATTCGAATTGGACTCAAACCGGATCTGTGATAGTTAATATTGGTTGGAGCTATAACGTTTTGGACAATCGACGATGTATGTGCATGTATAGACAGAAAATGAACTGTTTACGTTTGGAGTCAATTTAACATTATATCTGAAGCAAGTTACATCGTATTTGCAGGGAGGTCCTTAACCGGTAAGTGTTTGTATTTCCTTGTGTCATTACATGGGGTCAATACTCACTTACCTACAACGATATTTACCGTATAGGAGTTGAGTGAGTGAGTTATTATTTAACGTCACATCGGCAACATTTCAGCCATATCGCATATAGGAGTTGATGCACGTTCGTAAGATACTTGAAGTAATCCTTATTTCTGTCATATCACGACCCCAAACAAAACAGGTCGTTTACCGCTTTTGTGGAAAGATGCACGAGAATAGGGATGCCTGCGAATAGCAGATCCTTGAATCGCTAAGGGAGGCAAATCTGTTCTTAAGGTGTCGTTGCATTAACGCCAGGTTTTCCGTCACGATTATATGTAATGTACCGACAA